CCAGGTAAGAAACACACCTAACAATTACTTCGAATTAAAATACGTTGTATAAAATGTGAAACAATACTTTTACAAGTGTAAATATTTGATTGGATTTTTTTTTTATTAAATATACCTATATTAGAGATTGACTGACACTCTTGTATACAGTTTTTCTCTTATGCACAGAAATTCAAAAAATTTTGTTTTTATTTTTTTATGAAATAATCAGATAATGTTCTGTATACAAATCAAAAACTTCCAAATACAGCTTTCAAACTTATATTTTTATTGAAACTAAAACTCAAACTTTTAAATTAAATTAATTTCATCTTATATAACTCCCAGTTGTTTTTATTAATAACATAAGCATTTTTTTTTATAATTTTCACTTAATTTCGTAGTATATTTTATAGTTTGATATACAGAAGATTAGATTTTATTTTTGTGTTTAAAATATTAATTTGCACTAATTAGAGTAATGCTGTGAAACCACCTTTGAAAGCAATGCGTGTCACACGCAATATTGATTGCTTTTAAACTGGCTGGCTACATTTACTATAGAAATCTCATCTTCATTTCTCCCGAGCTTTAATCAGAATTTATTATGAATGGTGAAACTAAACACAGGTTGTAATTGGCCATAAAAGCCCACTGAATAAAATCGTCAAAAAGATATCACAGAAATTGAACAAACAAAAGAGGTCTCGTAATTGCAGAGATGTTAATGAGAAAATTCAAACATACGATTAGTTTTATAAAACGTATATTTGTCGGCAAATGAAACCTACTTTATTGCCACTTGGGCGTAATTTAAACCGAATCACAAAAGCTTTTAAAGTAAAGTTCTCTTCAAAACCAATTAAAAGCCGTGATCTTGATCAGATACAAATAAATCTTTCCAATAAATGTCGCAAGTCGAGCGAATTCTTACGATTGGTCGAGTATTTAACAAAATTGAAAATCTTTGCAACTATCCAACTACTCGATTGTCGCTCGCAAACGTGCGAGTATTAATTATAAAATGGAGCAAATTGCTTCCGGAAGCGTGACACGAGTATATGAAATTAATTTATGTAAAAAAGCGATTAAAAAAGCAGCGTGGAATTTAATTAGCGACTGCGTCGCCTTATAAATAAACTGTCCGAATCGATATTTAGTTCAGACTCCTGAAAAAGCGAAGAGGAAGATATCCGTTTATCCGTTTAATTTATTGGGTTTATTGAACACATATCGAGGTTTATTGTAAGTTGGCGCTCTTGATGCTCCTTCTGTAAATTCCGCACACGTAGCATAGCGTGTTCAATTTCGCCCGAGATGACGGAACGTTGTTTTATTATAGATATCCGCATCGGCGGACCAAGAAATAATGCTAAGTATGATCCTACCATTTGCTTCGAGAACTTACTCCAGACTCACATAATTAACTCGATCGATACGTCGACGCGAATATTTCCTTCTTTGTTAACTTCATATCCCAAAAAGCGGTTTAAAAACGTGTTCTTTGTAGGGAGAAAGATACAAAACTGCATTTACAAAATTGAAATAGATAGTAGAAGGCGTATTTTTTCAGTGCTTCGAGGTTTCATAATAAAGAAAATAAAGAAACTAGAAAACTTGAAAAACGAGTTTTTTATTCCATTCAAAACAACGAGAAACAACTTACAAGCATTTTAAAATAACGATCTTTGGATAGTCATCCCTTACCATTTATATAAAAAAAAATTAAAAAGAGTGTTCAAAGTAATAACTTTAATACAATTTACAATACCTACATAGTTCATATGAAGTTTTAACTTTAACTTCAGACTTCAGTTAAAATTTTTTAAACAATAGTTATTTATTATACAAGACGATAAAGAAATTGTTTATCTACGAGTGAAAAGGTTAAGTTTACGAGTGACGAAGTCGTGGACTTTTTTCACGAATAGATAAACAATCTTTATCGTTGTGTATAATATTACGTTTTATTTTGTAGTAGATAAAAGTTACTTTATTTCACTAGACGATAAAAGACTACTTTATCTACTAAAATTAGTTAATAAAATCACTCTTTAACAGGGCCGTACACAAGGGGGGGGTTAGAGGGTTTAAACCCCCCCCCCCCTCCCCGAAATGCTGAGCACTTTGTTATACTGTAGTTTTATAAGTGTTAAAAATTTAGTTTTTTTGTTATTTTAGTGAGTTAATTTTAATTTTTTGTGAATTAATTTTTCATGTGTTAATTATACAGTGTTTCATTTTTATTGTGAGGTACAAATTTAAATAGTTGATAGAATATTTAATTTTAAGACAAATGTGTTTCGAAAAATGCTAAGAAAGGGAGCTACACGCCCTACGTTTTTTAAAGGGTTTTTCCTAATATTTCAGAATAGATATAATTAAAAAATTTGGTACCTTTATATGTACACCTAAACAAATACCAAATAACAAAATTTTTAATCAGGGGCGTCATAAACGGTAAAACAAATTTAATTTTTATGCTATTTATGGTCTGTAACATAAATTTTTAAACCGATTTTTACTAAAAATTCGTAAATTGTATCGGAGAAACACAAAAAACCTTTTTCTTATGAAAAACTATGAAATTTTGTTGCTGAAAGTGGCAAGAAACCACAGGCAAAATGGTTAGAGTAACTGTGAACTTAGAGATTTTTGCTTTTTAATCCGCCTTCTTTCATTTCATTTTTATGGACCAACAAGAAAATGTTATTTGTACTAAAATTTCTACAAGATACATAGTGTTCCAATTTTGTTGTTACAAATTGCAACAAGTGATAGAATACTCAATTTTAAGACAAAAGTTTCTTATGAACATGTATTGAAAAATGCTATGTAAGGCGTGCGTTTTTTAATCAATTTTTTCCAATATTTTGGAATAGAAAAAATTACAAAATTTTGAACAGCTGATAACCTTTATACAACTAAACGAATTCTAAGATGAAATATCGTAATTTTTAATCAGGGGCATATTAAACTAGATGAGTGTTGGATAAAGTTTAGAACGCTTCTAAATAAAAATTTCTACTTTTGATCTTAGAATTCGTTTAGTTGTGACAGTTACACCAAATTTTGTAATTTTATCAAAAATTGTTTCTGAAATATTGGATGTGCCTCTTAGATAGTTTTTTCGATACATGTTTATAAGAAGCGTTTGTCTTAAAATTGAGTCATCTGTTAAAATTTGTAACAAAAAAACGGAATATCCTGTATCTTCTAACAATTGTTTTTATGAAAATTGAGTCGTTAATATAATAAGAGTTTAATTAATTTACAAACAAATATTTACTTTGTTATAATATAATAATTTATTGCGAAAAAATTTCAATCATGCCTCGTTTGCGGAAGGAAAACAAAGAGCTCATTTTCCTTATTTTTTTCAATCTTTTTTGTGATCCTTTCAAGAGCGCCACTTAATTGTGGAATTTCTCCCGCGTCGTTCGACTGTCTCAACACAATAAGAGATGATTGGAAATTTAATAAACCTCCCAGTTTCTCTTAATAAATCATCGCTAGTGCCCCTATTTAAAACCGCAACATTTTGCTACTTTCGTTGATACATTAAGAAATCGCCCCGTCATTTCAGGCGTATCTACAATAGAACCGCTCGTAACATTCATCTTTCGTGATGGTTCTGAGCCGGAGTTGAAGCTTTATTATACATCGGTCTGATCTCTGAAAAATAAAATGAAACGTATCGGCAAAAAATATTTTGTAATTGGCGTTGCACGAGAAAACCGATTTATCGGTGAAAAGAAGCGATTAATCTCGAAAAATGCGAGCAATAAATATGATAATTTTACCGCTCGCGTCTACAATAGACTTATTTGTTAATGGAAATGAAATCGTCCGAACACTAAACGAATTAAATTTTGATCGAGTTAATGGCTCGGTTCTGCACCAACACAATGATAAAATGAACCGGTTCGCAAGAGTTAGAAAACTCGACTAACGAAATTTAATTCGATAATTAAATTAAAGCGCGTCTATAATTACAGCCTTTGTTGTAATGTGATGACTCCAATTAAAATTCTGTCTTTATTGTTTGATCAACACGACGAATTGTTCGACAATGAGATGAATAAAAATCCGTGTCATTCTATTCCGGGACATTGATTGAATCTCAAAATCCTTTATTAATTATTAGTATTTTGTGTCTTTAACAACGAGTAAATTTGTAATTAACTGTCCTAGATTTGCAGATTAAAAAATTAATTTCTCTTTATTGCTTTTAAACACATTTTAGAATTAATTTCTTCGAACAATGTCGTTTAATACCCCGTCACCTTTTGAAATTCGAAACTCTCCAACGAGTCGATATTATATTTGGTCGTGTTTAACATGGTATGTAATAACTTAATCAAGTAACACTATGTGTTTGATAGTATAATGAACGTTTGAGTTAGTGAAACAGGCTTGTTCCTGCTAAGTAAACGCCCCCACTACAATTAATTAGAGTGACTTCATCCACATCGAAGTTTTCAGCAAGCTACTGAAAATTTTGATTTCGGATTAATTACTCACGATAAACACATGAAAACATCTGTTTTAATTCGCGCCGAGACAAACCAGAATTTATGTTCGAATAGTTGGGAGTAATTAAGATTTAATTCCCCCACACCACTTTAATTTTGCAAGTAGTTATATTCACTCCCGCTTTTGCCATCTTGTTTTGACACATGTCAACTCTTGAATTCAGTCAAGAGACTGTTGAATATCATGACATTGCATATTAACGCAACTCAAAATAGAATTTTGGAAAAAAATTGTTTCCTCCTGGAAAAACACGTTTGAATAGACAACTTCCTGTCTCTGGAGTCGCAACGTCGCAAAACTTTATTTACCGAATCGTAGAATTCTCTTTCACTTTTCTTCCAGCGGGTAAAAAATTCATTAAACTAGTAAATGTTGCAAGGAAACAACGTTCTATGAGCGGTAATTGAAAACAAACGATCCACGAACATTCAGGCTTTCGATATATGTCCGTTTTTAGCAGCTACTTGACTACATTTTACGATTAGTGATAACGATAAGAATAAGGATTTTTAGACGTGATAAAGTGTGCAATCGTGATAATATTGATTTTGCATCACGTTCCACTATGATTAATAAAATGAACGAATGGTTTCGTAATCTTTACGATACACGATGTTGGTGTAATCTTAAACTTACAGGAAATATTATTGGATGGCTCGGAGTTGTAAGTAGTTGTTTATTTATTTATGATACTACAAATTGCAGTTATGGAAGCACAAATAGTTTTCATAGATTTTGCACACAAAAATCCTGCTGTATTTTCTTTCCATTTACGATAAAATCACTTCAAGATTGCATAGAATTTTTTTTTAATAAACAATATTGTGATAACTATATACTTACCATTGCAGATTTATCGGAGCGTCGCGATTATCGCTCTAGCGATATACTTTTCACAATTTCCAGAAGAAGCTCATCTTTACACAATTCTTTTCAGCCTTCTTTTAACTTATGGCTTTGTGTCTCTGATAGCAAATTTTACTCTTCTAGTGGGAATTAGCAAAGTGAGACAATTTATTTTTTATTTCAAAATTATATTCTTTTATTGTAGCAAAGTCATAGATATCTTGTACTTTATATCGGTGTTTTGGGAGCCGAAGTTGGTATTTTTGTAATTCTTCTAGTTGCTGGTATCATATTTTTTTTAAAGTTAAACACTCCCAATGTTCTGACATATTTCGTCCCTTGCGGAATCGTGTTTCTAGGTAAGTTAATTAAAAAAAGTGGGTAATTAAATATTTAAATTAAAAAAAATATCATTTAAAAAATCAATTTTTGCCTCCGTATTATTTTAACAATTTAAATATTTTTTTATATAAAAAATTCGTGCTTTTGCTTTTGCTTTTAGCTTACAGCTGATTTATCTATCACATTTATTGCTTATAAAAAAAGGTTTGGTAAAACATAAACGACTACAGATTTTGCTGATAACTCTTTTCAGATTTTTTTGAACTCAAGACTATTTTTTTTACTTCTATTCAAGTTTAAAACTGTCACTTGTAATAAGAAAAGCACCCAAGGTGATTTAAAAATAACGAAAAATAATGTATTAAATTGAAAATACGGGATGAATATAAACTATAAAACCAAGCGTTTTTTTTAATCATTTGCCTTTTGGAAATACTAATTAATATGAATTAAAGTAATATAAAAATGTGATTATACAGTGGGATCAAAAAGTTTATCTATCAAGCAAGCCTAAAATTTAAAACGTGTGTCTGCGGAAGATAATATGTCACAATGGTAAATAAGAAATGTCAAAATATTTTTTTTGTAATGTGTAACAACAAATCGTGGTAAACGATTTGTATGAATAAACTCCAACTACATCTCATTTTAGGGTGTTTTAAGGCGTTTCATACAGTAATTCAATTTGTTTGGATCAATATTTTAATTTTTATAAAATAATTTTTTGACATACAAACTTCCAAGCGACATACGTCCTCAACTAGTACGCCTACTTGATGGAAAGACTTTTTGATCGCAATGTATTTTGAGAACGAAATTTTGTTTTGTTTTTAAGTTATGCAATTGCAATTTATATAAAAAAAAAAAAATCAAAAAATTAAATATAGGTAAAGTGGATAGTTGTAATCCTTAGATCATAAAAAACAAAAGATATTTCGAAAAAAAATATTTTTTATAAAACATTACATTTTTATAGTAGGTACTTTATTATTTATTATTCATTAGTTTTCACAAAAAATAAATAATTTAAGCAAAATACTTTTGGATCCATGCTTTTTATTCACCTGATATGTTCAAAAATTGTCTGAAAAGTAGCATCATCTCTTTCGTCATAGTTGGGCAGCTGAGAAATAGATAATGTTTAGTGAATTTAATATTAAATTGATACTCTATTTAAAATTTTTAAACTTTGTTTATTTATTTTATGTCTGAAATCTGAAAATCTGATTAATTTCCACAGCATAGTAAACGGGAGCAATTAATTAACATTTATTTACAGCTGTAAAACTTTAATTAATTTTTAGTTCATGTCCAATGGAAACATATAAATATTAAACAAATTTAGAATAGTATAGGTTTTTTGTGATAAAAATGTGACAGTAATAGGACTGTATTGTTTTATCTCGTCTTGATTATTTTAATTTTTTTAGGTGTGTATTTTTATTTATGGCTGTGTTTGGCGTTTCTATTCGAGCAGTTCAAGTCGGCCCATGAAGAACGCCCTTCTTTTCAATCGCAAGAAAAACATTCAAAACGAGTTCGCTGTAGTCTGAGTTGTTTCAAGTCGGCCTCACTTGACATCGCCACATAAATATACCAAATGTTTGGTTTTAATCCGTTTTTGCGCAAGCTTTGTTCGTCTCTGTCATAAATTAACCCCAATAAACCCATTCACATCAATTCGCCATGAATTTAAGTCAATTTGTAGCAGACCGCCGGAAAAGCACTCTCCTTATCTTTTGTATCAATGAAGAATTTGTTCTGGAGAGTTCTTTATAGTTATGGATTGTTCCTTAAGTTTCCTCGGCACGGAAGTTATCCAATATCCAGTCGTTCCCAAGACACGGCCAAAAACGTGTCCAAAGATGCAATCTAACTTATTGCTTTAAATAATATTTTCGAGAAGACGATGAGAATAAATATTTTTCCTCAAACGAAATTAAATTGCTTTCGAGGAGATAAAGAAAGCTTTGTCTTTAATATATATACCTCATTTGTAACATTTCTGTGTTAACTTCCACCTTAGTAAAAAGCTACTATTAGGTCACAGTAATTTTCTCGTTCATTGAATTTTCTTCTTTCTTAGTTCGTTTTTACCACCGATCCTTTTAAGTTGATCAGGCATCTGTGCACTTCTTTCAGGCAATGCCTCTTTATAGAATATCTCATTATCTCCAAGTCTTTCATCGGAGAAAGTTAAAGTTTAATCGATTTTCGCAAAATTTATGCAAAAATCTCCTCTTTGTCAATGTGATGCAATAATCCACAGCTCAGAAAAACAACAAACTTTCTGACTATTAAGCATCAGAAGGCAATTTTAAATTTGTCATCTCTGTGGCAATCAATTCCGGCAAGCGGCCTCCGGTAGAAATGAGAAGAGGCGCCCAAATCCTTATACGTCATTGTCTGCAACACATTGTCAATTTGTCACGAAGATTTATTTGCTTTAGTTTTTGCAAGAAACAGTGTTCTTGTGTTGCGCGTGTGTTATTTTTCAGATAATTTATCTTTTTCCTTCCACGAGGTGCACATCCAATTTGAAGAAAGCTTATTTGCAGTCGGTTGCCCTTTTCAGGATTTGAAATCGGAGCAGGTGCGCCCTCCGGAAAATTTCCTTTCATGTTTCCAGTCATCGGAATTACCGGATTTTAAATAATTATAAGCCGGGAGGAAGCACTACACGGACGTTTTAAGCGAGTTGTCACATTCGTTACGTTTTCTGAAATGTGTACCAAGAAGAGGATTAACTCGTTACTACAACTTTAAACCGGCCATTAATTCTATCCGAATTTGTTGCAGTAAAAATTTCTTATTTCCAGAACGAGCAAAAATAATTGATCCTCTGAAAGTTTAATTATATTTTACACTATTAGCGTAAAAAATATGATTATTTAGTTTGTCGAGAGATTGTGAAGTTGTTTTTCTCTCCTAGTAGCCAATAATCATTTTCATTAAGGGCCAAGGGCTATAATGTACGAAATGCTGATGTTGGAGTGTGTTACATTAATACAAATATTTCTAAAATATTTATTATTATTAAAAACTATTACCCTCACAAGTTCTAACGCAAGTATTTCGAGATATAGTTAATGCAAAATCAAATAAAAAAATTTTTTTCTCATTAAAAACATCAGAATAACAACAAATGGGTTTATTTCTTCTAATAATACTATCGGTAGTGAAGCAAATTTTTCTTTTTTTTTGCAATTTCTTTGGTATTTTATTAACAAATATTTCATATTATGAAGTTAGAAAATGCTTTTAATAGATGCAGAAGTACAAAAATGACATAACCTGATTTATGATAAGAAGAAAATAATACTTCCAACTAAGTTAATGACTCAGGTAAGTAATTGATTACTCTAGGTAATAGTGAATTAACAAAAATTGTAGTTTCGAATTACATCTGTTACGTCTGAGGCAAGATGTCCATTAAGTAGGGTTATATGTATTTTTCACCGTTGGTATTTCTGGGTAATAAATGAGTTAGTAGTGAAAAAAAAATGTTATACAAGGTAATTCACGAGGAATAATGAGCCTGACCAAATTCTCGATGCAACCACCATTACTTTTCGCGAGTTATTTTGCGAAAATGTTATGTTGGTTGCATCGAGAATTTCGTCAAGCTCATTATTCCTCGTGAATCACTCTGTATAAAAACCGGTAGAGAAGATTTTTATAGCCTCGCATTTATTATTTAATATTTAATAAACAGCTCGGCTATTAAAAATCTTTTCTTTACCTTGTAATATAATATACTATTATTGAATTTTGAAAAACAGTGATAATTTTTGTATCAATCTGACAGATTGAAATAGATTACAATGCTTACGTTCCGATTAACGACTCTTGCACAAACAACTACGAATTAAAGATAACAAAATAAACTCCTGATGTTTCACGACTTACCAGTGTAAATCTTTTTTTTAGAATTAACGGTGCATACGAAGCTTGCTATTAAGATAAAAGTGTAATATCTGATTTTTATTTTATTTAGCAAACGATTGCTCATTTATTATTAATTCAAAAGCACGATTACGATAAATTTACGATTTTGAGATTTTTTTCGTTCATAGGTGCATTTTTGGCACACCCCTGTATGCTGTGAAACTGCTATTCGCGCGCCAGTTGTGCCAATGCAAAAAATCGAATTATGAGCCGAATAAAATTTCGCGTTAAAATATTGTTGTAAAAAGCGTTGAAACTCGTCATCCTTTTTGGTGTTTCCCCATGAGAAAACAGCATCAAGAGCAAGCTGCCGTCAATCGCCATTAATTCCGATAGCAATTTACAAAAACGTGTCGTCTACGGCACCGTAAACTCGTCGATGATTTATAGGAACTGGGATTATTTTTGAAATTATCAACTTGGTTCATTTGCATAGCTCGCTGCAACGGCATCATAATGACTAATGAAATTGCAAATCAGTAGCACCGTCTGTTCTGTAACACTGACAAGCTAAAACCGTGAGTAAATATAAAATTTCAATTATTTTCAATTCGCCACAAACGGAGAATACGCCACGCTTTTGTAAATAAAAAACGATTTCGATATATACTGGAATTCAACATCGACAAATATAATTATGGACGGACCATTATTGCCTTTAATTTACTAATGAAAGTTTTTCAAGAGTGGCTCGTGTAAGCCGGGAATTCAATTAATTTAGTAATTTGGACGAAAGTGAAACGAAAATAGACTACAAACCGTGAGTTTGCATTGGGTGGAAGGTTCAAACAAATAAACAATTTGTTTTCACTTTCACCGAATTAAAATGTCAATTAGTTAAAGTTTGTTTTAATAATGTTATTTATTAGTAGACAATCAACTAAGCCTAAAAAGATTCAATTTTCACGTAACCACAAGAAAACAAAGAGTTGCTAAATCAATACCGGGTTTTAGAAGGGTTTAAAGTCATAAATAAACTAGCGGCGGATAGTTGGTTGGTAGCACCCTACTTTTTCAGATATACTACATATGAGAACATAAAAATGCGGGCGCCTGAGCGACTATAAATTTAGCGACATATTTTTTACCAACTTTTACATATGTATCGCAAATTCCATCCGGAACAGTAGTTATTTTTTGCTCACGTACTTCCAGATAAAAGAACGGATCGACTGTTTTAATTTTAGAGAAATACCCGTGCACTATTCGGAGATGTTACCATTACTTTTGGGAACAATCGCTCATGACCCACCCTGTATATTGCGCTTAAAAAATACATTTTCTTTGGCACAAATTATTAAATTCTTGTCGTTATCAAAATCGACTTAGTGATAGAGTCTGACATTTTTTCGTCGGAATAACATCGTATTAATTAAAGGCGCGATAATGTAGCTTTAACGAGGCTCATTATCGAGCTGTAATTAATCAACGTCTGCAGATGACGCCTTCATTTCGTTTCAGTTTACTTAGAATATTGATATTGTGTCATTTCGGAATTTAGATTTATTGCAATTCGTAATGAATTGCTTGTTTATTACAAGTATTGCGATGCGTTATTTGAGTAGTATAGAGTCGGAGGGGTGAGCAAACAAGGATTGTACACTCAGCAGGCAATTTTCACGCAATTAGGCAACGAGATGAAAGGGTGTGTTTCAAATTTGAGAGAAATGGCACGATTCAAAAATTATTTTGTCTCACCTAGATTAAAGTGGTAATTAATATTTCAAAATTTAATAAATTTATTCGATAGAGTACATGCACCGATACTTGGAGTGATTCCGACAATGTTTTGACTAGCAAAAAGTGTTAAAGTCACGGTGCAGATTAGTAGTCTAATAATATAATAATAATAATAAATAATATATAATATTAATAAATAATATGTGATCTAATCTGTGGTTTAGTAGTGCATGATGCATCTGAGTGTAGTGTCATTCGTATGGGATTTGATAAAATATTTCATATTTTTATCAATTTTTCGCTTTTGGAATGAAGAATGTAAGATTTAACACACATAATTTTGTTGATTATATATTACATAAGAAGAATTCGTAAATTTATCAGTTCAGCATCAAAAAATAAATATGATCGCTGAAATTAGTTCTTCAACAGCTATAGAAAAAAGTGTCTTAATATTTGAAAAAATTATTAAGAGATATCAAATTTTTTGTCGAATTTTGTTACTGAAACGTTGCTTGTACTATTAGCAATGTAAACTTGGGAATAAAGTAATCAAAACATGCAATCTAGTTTATACTGCATATCTTTGATAAAATTTCCAACGCTGAAATAAAGGTTGCACTCTCAAAATCTCAGAAACTATAAACACTCGAATAAGACAAGTTTTACAAAAATAAAAAAACACAAAGAAACAAAAATTTAATAAAAGACAATAAAACAACTAACATAAATAAAATTAGCAATAAAAAACTTGAACTTGAAAGAAGCAAAAACAAAAACAAATCGCTTTCATGTTTTTTTAAAAGTTTATTTTACAGTTATGAAAATAATTTTTGAGTGTTTTCATTGTTTTGTTTTTTTTAAGTTTTTATGCAAAAGTTACATTTGAAACACGTATGTTTTTCAGTTTTTTCTAATCTCACTACGCATTATACCTACCTAAAAAAAATTAAAATTTACTTACCAATATTTAGAAAATTAAATTTTCATTTACGAGAATTTAAAATTGTTACATCTGCTTTTGGTTCTTTACACTCGAAACCGTATATTGCATACTACACTTTTTCTCATATCAAAGTTTTGTAATACGAAACTTGTAAAATGTGATTATGCAAAAAGTAAGATTAATAGAAACAAAAGAAAACAAATTAATTTTATTTTTTAAATACTAATAGAAAGACTAAAAAAAGTGCAAATCTTTCATCATTTTTTCTAATTAAAATTAATTTCAGAATGCATTTTTAGCAACTCAAATATTAGAACTTC